GTTTGTTTTTTTTTTTGGTTTTTTCTTTTTTCTTTTTGGGGAGAGAGATTGTTGTGTGTCTTGAGAGTCAAGAAATGGATGAGAGGAAGGCATGGCGATATATGAGGAGGAAAGAGACAGAAACAGATTTTAATTTGACCGTTTGACTTTCTCTAACTCGTGTCATGGTAATAGATTTTTCACCAAGGAATCGTACAATGTAATTTACAGTTAAGGCTCTGTATTTTGATAAAGTTTATACTATGACCTTTATAGTTTTGACATGTTTCAGTTTGCGGTGTATGATGGAGAGTGGATTTCTAAATATCTGTATGTCAAATAAAAAATGTATTTCTGCAAAATATATATAAAAAATACTAATTACCAATGTGTTCTCACGGCAATTCAGCTCTAAAATATAAAAGGATAATGGACAAAGATAAAGATAAATTTAAATAGGAAAGAGATTCAATAGATAAACACGAAACTATATCAAATCATAATTCAAGTTGGAATAGGATGGTGAACGTAACAATCTATATATAATCCAAATTAAGATTGACTAACAAATTGTATGATAAGAAAAGTTCTAAGTATTAACCATCATGGAGAAGACAGAAACGATGGCTAAGTGTACATGGTGAGTGGATCGGTGAATTATTCTTTTTTTCTTTTCTTTTCATGTGGTTCCTATGGCAAGCTATTTAATTCCCAACTAATGGCTTAATTACATATGTTATGTTTTTTTGGCATGGCAGGTCTAGGAAGCAAATACTTTACGTCATCATCATGCACATACTCATCGTTTCGTCAGCTCTTGCAGCGTTCTTGTTCATAAGACTCAACAAGATCCCCTTGAATCTAGACCAAAATATATTGGCAAGTCTTTTGGCCTTCTTCTACATCAATGGCGCTTGTGTGGGACCCGAGGCACCCTCGGATATCGCTTTCTTCTTTGCCGAATGCGTGAGTCATGCCCTTGGGCTTGCTCTCGTCGGCTTTCTCCTCTACATTATTTCTCCCATACTCGCTCTTTGTGTCGGAATACCCTCTTCCATTGGGTTCTTTGCCCTTTGCTGCGGCTGTCTATGTGCCGCAGAGGATGACTTGCAAGAAAACATTACTAATCTACCAGTCTAGACAGGCTTCTATTGTGATCTCCCGTTTTAGTATTCCTTTTTTTTTGTGTACACACCAAACTAAGCGTGTTTGAGTGTTTCAAGCTTTACCCTAGTAGCGAAAACGGACTAATATATTATTCATCAATAATGAAACTTCAGTATATATAGATATATTTGTCAAAATAGAAATCGACCATGATATTGCCAATACATCTTTAAGGTTGTGACTTGTGACTTGTGACGATGGGGTCAAAGGACTCCAAAAAGTATAAGGTGGTTAACACAAGCCCAACCTTTAATCACCATTATTAGGGCCTCTGGACTAGATGATTTATATTATCAAGATCTTAACATTATCAATCTTATACAAATTGTGGAGTAAGCTCCATTGGGAACTTGAGAGAAAGAACATGATCATCATACTTTCTCATACATGTACAAACTAAATGCAATACCTTCTTTCCTTATCCCCTTTTACAAAACCGAGAAAATTGGTTTATTTCGGTTTAATTATCGGTTTTGTTTGGTGATCCGGTTTAAGTTGTTAATTACATTGTCTGTTGAAAAATCAACAACTTCTTTTTTGGTGAGAAAGAAAACTGAAAGACACAAAATTGGTTTCGTTCTCTCTCACTGGTCACGAAAACCCCCAAATCCTCAATTTTGAGATTAATTAGGGTTTTCGATTTCTGTGATGAAACTAAGAAGAATCTCTCATTAGGGTTCTCAATTCTTCTTCAGAGGGATTTCTCATCTCTCTCTCTCATTGAGCTTTCTAAGCTGAAATCTGAGTTTGATAATTGGAACTCAGATTCCCATGTTGACCTCTCCTTGCTCTTCTTCGTCTCTCCTCTGCCATCGCCCAGCTCTCTTTAGTTCGCGTTCCAAGTTTAGGGTTCCTCGTCGAACTGTCTTCTCTCCTGCTCTTACCAAGATTTCCCCTTTAACTGCTTCTTCACCTTCTAAGTCTGCCAAGCACGTACGCTTCCTTTCTTCTCTTATCTGTTTATTCAAAAGTATGATACTTTGAATTGAAAGGACGACTTTGTGTTTGAATTGTGTTGAAATTGTGGAATCTTGGATTCCAATAGCATTGTGGATTCAGTCTATATGACAAAAGAGAGTGCTTTTTGATAAGGGTTTGCTTGGATTACTAATAGCTTTAGAGATTTTGTGGTTTTTGAGGTTTAGTAATCTTGTGATGCATTGGTTAGTAGTGACTGCTTTATTCTAAGAAGTTGATATTTCTTTTGATGCTGTAGCATTTGATTATATTGTTTACTTCTGCTTTGCAGATGAAGAATCGATATTTTGTCTCCAATGTATTAAACTTTGGTGCTATTTTCTGCAGAAATGGAAGATTTTGTGCTTTAGAAATGAGGATTCTGCTCCTGAGAATTCGGAGCATTTCGTGCCTGAGGAATTAGTTAAGCCAGATCAAGATTCTCCATGTACAGATAAAAAAGATTGGAAGGCAACTCTTCAAAAGGTAAGGCTCTCTGGACGTTACTGGATACTTGTACAGTTGAAGAAGAACTACCTTCTGTCTCTGTTTTAGTCTGACAAAGCCAAATTTTGATATTAGGGTCTAGACTAGACTCTAGAGATTAGGACTGCGGCAGAATCTCATCCGCTGCTTTTGTTTGCTTACTAGTGTTCTCATTAAACGAATTTGAAGTTTCTTTTGATCTGGAAATGTGGCATACAAATTGATGGTATTCTTAGGCTCTCTTTTTACTAAATGTGATGGGTAAAAAGGAAAATAAGGAAACTCTTACAAAGGCTTATCGATCTTGTGTTCAAGACATTATATTGGGTTTAAAAAGCACGTTGTTTCTTTGGGTTTCAGGCTGCAGATACAGTTTTGAAGGCCATTGGGACTCGTTGGAAGGTACCATGGACTGTCGAGACCATTGTGCAGGTACCTACATCTTTGTTTTACTCAACCTCTTTTGTATTACCGTATCAGATTCATAAATTTTACACAAAAACACTATTGAAACCTATCTAGAACGTTTACTGGATTATCTGATAAGAGTGTATATGAATGAGTGGAGAATTATGGATATTGAGTCTGTGTAAGACGTAGTTTTTGAAAGTAGAGACATTTAAACGTAAGCTAATATCCTTGACTTAGTAACTATGGACTACACGTCTTTAGCCTGTATTAATTAGAGATAGATTGTTCAAACAAGATAACCGCAAGGCTCAAGCTAATAGTATTATAGATGCCTTAGTTCCTCAAAAGAAGATGCAAAACAAACAGTAATGAGAAATGAGTTATATACCAAAGCTTTCAATTTCACCTGTTGCGCTCAGATTATTTCCTTGGTTAATCCTGTGATAATCTTTCGTGCCCCTAATATAAACTTTTTCAGGTAATGCTTCTGTGGGTAGCTGCTTTCTGGTTCATTGGCTCATGGATGATCCCATTCATGGCTCATATATCCGGTTTCCACAAAGAATCCCTAACATTTAGAGGCCAAGCTTTGTTCAGTCTGATAACCGATGTAACAGAAGGCCTTGCCGGGATTGCTATACTCCACCGTTGCCTCTCCATGTTCCGTCCACTTGCAAGCGATTGGTTCCGCTTTACCCTCAAAGGAAACTGGCAACTAGATGTTATCATAGGCTGTTTCATGTTCCCTTTCGTTAACCGTCTCTCCCAATTAAACCTAAACCTCTTGCCACTCCCACCAACCTCAAGTCCGGTCTCACTCTCAAGTGTCGAGCAGTCGATAATGGCTAGAGACCCTGTGGCAATGGCACTGTATGCAGTTGTGGTATCAATTTGTGCACCGGTTTGGGAAGAGATAGTGTTCAGAGGGTTCTTGTTACCGTCTCTGACTAGGTACATGCCAGTTTGGTGTGCGATTCTTGTGAGTTCGGTGGCATTTGCTTTGGCACATTTCAATGTGCAGAGGATGTTGCCATTGGTGTTCCTTGGAGTGGTTTTGGGTTTGATATTCGCAAGGTCAAGGAACTTGTTACCTTCAATGCTGTTGCATAGCTTGTGGAATGGCTTTGTATTCATGGAATTGATGCGATGATGATGACTATCTTTTGTAGGTGTCTTGTTTCTTATTCTTCTTGTAATTGATTCAAATTATGATTTTAGCTTTTATTTTTTAATAAATGGACAGTTCAATTGTACAAAGATAAAAACAAAAATGGTAAAAAGGAAATTTCTAATTCTATAACTTTAGAAAGTTAAATGATTGGTCCAAAAATAAAATTAAGCAGGTTATACTTTGATTTTGTCTTTTCAAATTTCTCTTTCATTCTTTTCCTATCGATTGGACTAAGCTTCATCTTTGATGGATATGGAACAAAAGATACGAAAACGACATTCACAATTCACACACAATGTATATATTAAGAATCAAGTAAAAACAAATTAAACAAGAAGTGCATGTCTTTGATTAAAGTCTTGTGACTTTCTCAATTAAGGTGGTAATATGAATTATCCGGCCCTTGAGCTCAATTAAGGCCAACTAATTCTTCTTCGACCTTTTAATTCAGTTTGCTAATACTGACAAACTAAAATCCATTACTGTTAACTTTTTACTACATTTTAAAATAGATTTTTCCACTTATCGTTAAAAGTTAGATATTTAAATAGCATTGCCAATCTTTCTTCCTCTTTAGTCTTTTATAGTTTTTTTTTTAATTATTATATAAATCCGATTAATATTTAAATAAATATCAGGTTTACACATGTTCAGGAGCTTATATTATTCTTTATACAGCCTTTTAGTCCCTTTGTTAACAACTTTTTGTTTCGTATTGAAAGATTTAAATAACTTGGTCTTCTCTTCCCTGTTTTTCCGAGTCTATCTATATAAATTTTTGGTTTAACTTTAAGTACAATATATAGAAATCACTTTTGGCTACTAATACATTTTTTTTTATGGGATTTGCATATTTCTTCTATCCAAGAAGTGAATTCAACCAAATTAGAACATATTTTAAAACTAGAAGAGACTCGAGCCGACAAACATCGATCTCATCAGGATCACTAGGAATGTCGAATTCTGTCAGCCGAAGTCATCGCCGTCAAATCAGACATATCAATATGGTCAGTCAACATATATTACGGGGTCAAACCTTCGATCCATGTGTAATATATGGTTTACACATGTTGGTTGGTTAGCTAAAATGCCCACTCACGTATATAAATATTACAAGTCGCGTAAATAATCTATCAAGATTATGGTACTTTCTTTCTGTAATCTCATAAAGTTTCCAGATCGATTTTCTAGAATCTAGATAGTGACCAAATATATAAGATAAGTTGATTGATTGTATTCTTACTTGGCTGCTTATATTTGAAATATTTTCATAAATATCGAATCATGTAATTTTAATATTTTAGATAAAGTTCGGTTATAGATCTCATAATATATTGGAGAATCGCTTATTTTATAACATACAAACCTAAAGATTAGTGTTTTAACTTATTATCACTTTTTTGTTACTTTCCAAATTTAAATCATACTATATTGTATATTGCTGACATAAAAAACAAATCAAGGTTGTTTTGATTTAATTAAATTAAGAAAATGTTTGCCTAAAAGGATTTCGGATGGAAGACATTAACACATGGGATTCTTCTTTACAACTATGATCAGTTTCAGTTTCCAAAAAAACAAAAGAACTGTCAGTTTCCGTCCTATAAATTTATTTGCCATAGTAGTACATGACCAGACCAATATCTCTCTTTTTTGCTACGAGATGGCACCATTCTTAACATTGGTTTAGAAGACCTTTCGCAGTCTCTCATTGCCAATTTCCGATAATTTTGTACCTTCTTTTTTATTATTACTTAACTACAATACTTATATGGTTGTCGTCGAGTCGTTGGTGAGATATGAAAATATGCTAAAACATTTTTTTTCAGGATTTGACCTTCCTTCGAAACAAAAATCACATTTATATAGAAAGTCTGAATTTGACTTTCACCCTAAACAGTTTACCCAGTAGTTTAGTAATAAGTCATCCGACTACTTCTGGATATTAGTCGGGAATTCCAAACTTGGATTAAACAATATGATGATTCTTCGGAAAGAAGTCTATTTTATAACATTTTAGTGTATTTTTACCAAAACTGACCGGATCAACGGATAAAATATATAAAACAAAAATATACGATCGACTATAAAGAAGTTGGATGCTAATGCTTCGGTTTTCGATAAGATGTGATAGCCTCTTTGGCATTAGGCTGTTGAAATATATAAAATTAAAAATAAACTTTTTTAAAAGAGGAACAATTCAACAGAGAAAAAGAAAATAAAAACGATGAAGATCAAGTCAAAACGGAAAATGAAGATAATGTCAGCGAAGCAGTCTTTGTAATTTAATTAATATATAAGTCTTATACTGTATGTGTGATGTGCATTCTCTATATAATATAGACATATATATTGATAGAATGAAAATATTTATCGGCTAATTTTAGTACAATTTAGGAAAATGCATTTATATCTAAGTAGCACTAAGAAGACTATTCAAAAAAGACACAAATCAAGTTTTGATTAGCTTAAACTTTTGCGAATTGTGGTACCAATTTCTTAGTAATGGAGCCGAAACTAGAGGTTAGCCGGTTTGAAATATCATCTCTTTATAACCTATTATAGACTTTAAACTTTTTTATAATACCAATTAGGAAATAAAAGTAGACAATTTGAGTATTAAATTTTATGGTGGGCGAAACAATCAAGAAGAATCTAGTTGGCGATTAGCAACCAAACCAGGAAAAATAGAAAAGAATTTCAGCTGCTTCATAATATGATCTGTTTGCATGCGATGCGACGAACAATAAAAACTTGACATGTTGTATAGTTGTATTTAAAGTAATTGAAACTACCTAACGCTTTTTAAAATCATTTACAAATTAGAAGACACGCAATTACGACAAAAACTTTTACTACTCCCTCTGTTTTAAAATAGTTGTCGTTTAAGATTTTTTTCACGAGTGTTAAGAAAACATTCAAACTAGAAAATCTGTCAAACATCTGTATTAAAAACAGAAAACGACAACTAATTTAAAACAAAATTTAACTTCTAAAACGATAAATAATTCGAAACGGAGGTAATATTATAACTCAAACCTAAAAGTTAAAATAATACTCCAACATGCAAAAAAATACAGACTTTCTCTTTTGCGCATGTTTTTGAACTTAAAACTTAGTGGTGGGGTCACAATAAGAACCAGTTACAAGCCATGTAAGCGTAACAAATACATATATTTAAATGTTCGAAACAAATTCAGAAGTTCTTTTCTTATAATGAACTGGACTATAAAAAATTGGAAACAACAGAATTGCCTAGACTTGTTTCTAAGAAAAAAATCTGTTCTTTTTATTTTTGTTTGGCAAAACTAAAACCTATAAGCAAAAATAATGATGGTCGTACTCCTATAACTCCTGGAAAAGAAAAAGAAAAACACATTTATCACCTTTTCATTGTAAATTAACTAGAAACCTTGATTTGGCCAGTTGTGTCCACATACATGATACATTTACCGACTTGTATTCGAATCTGATATTAATGGTGTGAGCACATATTTGGAGAATCCCCCAAAAAAACAACAAAATTGTAAGGATGATCGAACTTCTCAACGGAACTATATAAATTTTTGTGTTTGCCATGTTTGTTTTCTTTGTTCTCCTAAAGTTTGTCTTTAAATTGTGTAATTCTCAAGCTGATTTGTTTGATATTGACTGATATTTTATTATTTTAATTGTACGAAACAGATTAAAAAAGAAAAAGAAAACTATAAAACTCCCATAACAAATTTTTAACAAATAATTGAAAGGGTCCACTAATGGCTCTAAGTAAAGACATTCATGGATGTAACGTTTGGTTTGTCCTCTGACCCAAGTCATGGCCTTCTCCTTCCTTGTCTTTTTCGGTCCTTTTCTTTCCTTTTCACCCAGTCAGCTTTGTCCTTGTTCTATCACTGTAATTACAATTTTACCCCTGTTTTGATTGTCGTCTAATGGGTCCACAGGATGGCCTTTTAAAGCGATCAGGAAGGCCCATGAAACTTTTTGCTTCGTTTTCCCTAAAACACCCTTTGATCTAAGACCTGATACAACAATTTGTACACGTAAGATGAGGGTGAATTTCGTCATTTTAAAGAAAGAATTATTGTCCCCGGAAGACTTATGAAAAAGTCAACACAGTTAAGTTTTGATTATATGAATCATGTGGCTGAATATTCAGTTAAGTTCGTTTCTAAAATATAAATATAGTTACAAAATGAGTTGTTTAATGTCAATATACAGTCTTTTGTTTTTATGAAATGAATAATTTTGCAGAGTACCATTTTTAATTTGTTTCTGTCATTTATGTTAACGAAAATAAAAATAGAAAATTTTCTAGTTAGGCAATTAATGATAAGAAACAACTTTCAACATTACTGATTTAACGATTTCGTGATCTAAACATATTTTAGATTGAAGAGTGTATTGTGGATTTGTGGGTCATCTTATTATCAGCTTCTTTCTGTATTTAATGACAAATCTGTGGGTCATCTCACTGTCAATTGTCAATGTGTTTTCATATTTTTAAGGAAAATCTTTGATATTAGAATGAGTAGAAATATCTTACGAAACCTACCATTTTATTGATGCATTTAATGTTTTGCCAAAAAAGTTGTTCAACAATTGAGGTCGTATTGTATCTATGATCCGTTCATTTTCAACATATATAAGTTCATTTGTGAACAAAAAAAAAGTTGAAAATTTTTCTTGTACACAAACTGAGATCATAGATTTTAAATTCAATAGTCACAACTAGTATTTTTTTTTTCAAAGACATACTTTGTCTCCTAAGAATTAGATCCTAATTAAATGTTGACAAAGACCGGATCCATGGGGTCGGCGAAATACTTGGTTATAAGAAATTCAAAAATATTTATACCAACCGAAATTTTAACTATATTACAAACAGAAACAAAAGAGAAAGAAAAAGAAAACAAATATTTATCTAAAACCAACTAAAATAATAACTCCTATGATTTTACCCTACATTTTTATTTATTTTAAAACCAGATATAATCGAATTATATAAAGAGCTAACCGGAAGTTTGAATATGTCTAAACTCTAAAAGGGAGTAATTTGATTAATAAAAAAGTTGAGCGTAACAATGTTAAGGAAAAGAAAAATACTGGTTGAGTTAAAGAAAAGAACCCAAAATAGGCCAAAATACACAAAAAAAAACGTTATTTAATTGACCTCTGTGAAGGAAACGAGAGAGGAAGGTGGGGCTTTAAAGAGAGACCCGTGGAGGCTCTACTGAAGCGATGCGTGGAACAAAGCTGACACAAAATGGCCACAACTACTTCTTCTTCTTCTTCTTCTTATAACAAGTGATACATTCTCAATCTCTGATTTTAAAAACCCTAATTTTTCCACACGCTTCTTTAATTTTCACCCAAAAGGTACACGCTTTTTTAATTTCCTTTCCTGCATTCATGAAATTTGTCTCCTGCATGTTGGAAAATTTCGTTTTGATTATCGAGATTCGTTTTATTTTGTAGAGAGAGATATGACGGAGACGACGAAGGTGATGTATATAGTGGTGGTCGACGGTGTTGATACGGCGGCGGCGACGGTGGAAGAAGACGGTACCGGGAATTGGAAAGATTCGTTTAGGTATACGCGTCCTGTTTTGCAGAGTACTCTTCAGCTTATGGGATGCAAAGCTCGTCACGCTTTCAAGGTGATCCTCGATTTTACACTTGAAAAAAAAAAAAAAAAAAACATCGCTTTCATTGAATTTACGATTTTTCATCATTAAGAACTTTTATTCTTGTCGTTTATTAGTTTGGGATTGTTTTTGTGTTTTTTTCTTTCTAATAACGAACTAGCTTTTTTTCTGGATTCTGGAACAGTGATGTGTCTGGAATTGAACAGGAATAAGCACTTTGGTCTTAATCTTGTTTTTTGGCATTACTGTGCACGACCGACATGGTCTAATTCTATTTTTCTTTAGCATTACTGTGTCTGGATTTGAATAGGATTAAGCAGGCTCGTCTGAATTTTGTTATTTGGCATTATTGTGTCGACCGACATGGTCTAATTTGGATTATCCTGGCTGTTACTAATCTTTGAGCTAAGTTTGATTGTGCTCTTATTTTCTTGACTGTTGTTGCCATTATTTCGTGTGTTTCAATGTTCGTTATTCGTGAGCTTGCTTGGTATCTTTTTAAAGGTTATGATTTTGTTTGAAACAAAGACAAAGTTTTAAGATTTATGGTGGTTCTGATTTTTGGCTCTTCTTTTAGTTGCAAAAACCTTTGGTAGTTGGTACTATTCATGCCTTGTTGATTTTGTATTGATCCTGAATTGGTGCAGATTAGCCGCAGGGTTTTTGAGTTAATAAGAAGTGAGGGATCCTTAATCCTTTCGCCCTCGCTTTCGCCCTCGCATGGTAAAGAATCTGAATTTCAGAAGACAGGTGATACTTCAGCTTGTGCTAATGTAGAAAAGGCTAACAAAGTTAACAGTTTGGCTACTGATGTTGTTGATAAGAATAAAAGTAAGCCGTTTGAAGTGTACAAAAGGCGAACTACGGTTGTTGTTTCGCGGGAGATATTCGTTAACGTTGTCTGTGATGCATTGGCTGAATATAAGTATGTGGGTCATGACCAAAGGGCAGACTTGATTCTTGCGTGCAGGTAAATTTCTTACCTTTAGGAACATATATGTTACTTTACTAATAATAAATTCTCTAGACTTTATAGCCATTATGGGTATATATATGATAGGAACTGAAGTCAGATTTTATTATATTGAATAGTCATTAAAGTTATGTGAACTCGCTCTTAGATCTCTGTTATGTGTTTTGCTTCATCCTTTCTTGCATTATTCAATGCTTCCACTACATTAGTCATGCCATTGATGGATGTAACTGCACTGCATTTGATCTTCTTTGACTTCACACATCATCTAAAAGTTCTTATCATTTTCTACAGAATCCGAGAAAGGAAAGAATCTGTGACTGTTCTGCTGTGCGGTACTAGTGGCTGTGGCAAATCTACACTCTCCGCACTTCTGGTATATATCATCACAGCGTTTTAAATTGACATAAGATACTTCACTTTTTGTTATATAATACTGGATTTTGATTTTCTTACAGGGAAGTAGGCTTGGGATTACAACGGTGGTCTCAACCGACTCAATCCGTCACATGATGAGGAGTTTCGTTGATGAAAAGCAGAATCCTTTGCTATGGGCTTCAACATACCATGCTGGAGAGTACCTTGACCCTGTGGCAGTTGCTGAGTCGAAAGCCAAAAGAAGAAGAGCCAAAAAATTGGATACTATTGAGGACGAAAAAGCGAAGGCCTATGAAGGTGTGAAGGCTAATAATACTCAACAGACTGATGTTGGATCAAAATCAACCACCCCTGTATTGTTAAGTCCCAAGCAAATGGCTGTAGAAGGATTTAAGGCTCAAAGTGAAATGGTTATTGACAATCTCGATAGGCTCATTACCGCATGGGAAGAAAAGAAAGAGTCTGTTGTTGTTGAAGGTGTCCACTTAAGCCTCAACTTTGTGGTAAGCCAGTAATTTGTTCTCTTTAACACATTTCGTTTTGTAAGTTGGGAATGTAATTCTAACTTCTTCCTTGCTTGCAGATGGGACTGATGAAAAAGCATCCTTCGATAGTTCCTTTCATGGTATACATCGCAAACGAGGAGAAACACTTGGAACGATTTGCAGTTAGAGCTAAGTACATGACCCTGGACCCAGAGAAAAACAAGTATGTAAAATATATACGTAACATCAGAACAATACAGGATTACCTTTGTAAACGAGCTGACAAACACCTCGTTCCCAAGATAAACAATACCAATGTCGACAAGAGTGTGGCTGCGATCCACGCAACAGTCTTCAGTTGCCTGCGAAGGCGAGAAGCAGGAGAGCAGCTCTATGATGCTACCACAAATACTGTCTCAGTTATTGACGATGAGTACAGGAACCAGTGTACAGCCAATTCATTGAGTTCCAAAGGAATGTTTCAGCTGATCCAAAGAAAAGGTTCTTCTAGGCATCTAATGGCTCTTCTCAATACTGATGGCACTTTCGCAAGAACTTGGCCCGTTAGTGGTAAGGTTGATGAGAGCGGAAAGCCGGTCTTTTGTAATGAGATGATGGAAGAAAATGGAATGGAGCACCCGGTCTATGGATACCTACAGAAAGCCGAACCGGTGAATCTTCAGTTTGGTCTATTTGGGATCAGTGCTTGGCCTAGTGATGGAGCCACGAGCCGCGCTGGGAGTGTAGATGACTCTAGAGCTGACATGGCTGAAACCAGCAGTCGGTATTACTCTTCTTGCTGCAGCTCGCCTAGGATGTCTGAAGGAACTTCTAAAGAGGTACTCTAAAACTATTTTCTCTCGTGTGATTTGTATGTGGAAGGTTGTTTAATGATTACGTATCTTCTCTCCTAACAGCTTAAGGAGGATCAGTCGGTGCATGGGAGCGATGAAGAAATCGAGGATGATCCTCCCGAGCCAGATACAGATTTTAGCGATGACGATAACAAGCGTGACCATGACGAGGTAAAATCTTCTTAATGGTCTTCTTACACATTTATGTGTTTATATGCAATGAAGTGGTAACCCTGAGGCCTTGTGGTTGTTGATTTAATAAGAGTCTTGTGGTAATCTCGGCAGGTGGGCTCGGTTGATGAGCAATCAACAAAGTCAGATGAGGAGTACGATGATCTTGCAATGGAAGACAAAAGCTACTGGACAGATGACGAGGAAGAGTCACGAGACACGATTGCGATAATGTCTGAAAAAAACCACAAGCAAGCAACAAAAGAAGACAAGTACATACAAAACTTAGACCTTTTTCTGCGTACCGCGAACCAGCAGCTTGTCGAGCCACTTCAGCTATGCGCATCACTGCTCACATGCGAGAACGGGAACACAAGACTCTGGTTGGGTAAAGAAAAGATGAGGAAACGTTCTCTAAGCATCTCGGCCATCGGAAAACATGGGTCGGGTTTGGGTGATGCGATTCTCTTGGGTGCCCCATGATCTTTTGCTTGCTAGTTTGATAATCCTGGTTTAGTCTTTTCTTTTCTTTCTTGATAAAGCATTCTGGTTTTAGTCTTTAGTTTAAGTTTTATGTGTGTGTGTGTGTGACTGTGTATAGTCTTAACTTGCACAAATTTGGGGGTTTATAAAGTGCTTCGTTTTTTGTTGTTTTTAATAATGTAAGGCTTTAGATTATAACTTCGATCTCAAATGTAAATACTTAAATTTTATTGACTTCGATCTTAACATTTATGAGCGTTTGCAAAAAAATACTAGTATTAGGGTTATTCAAATTCATGTCACTTTCTGTATTAGATTCTTGACATTGATAGCGGAAAACAAAAAAAAAGTTTCTTGACATTGACAGAAATAATGTTGGTTCTAATTTTTTTTTCCTTTTTTTTGACGTTCAAGTGAAAATCAGTAAATAGAAAGGTCGGAATAAACTCTTAACTCATCATACAGTACTTAACTAGATAATTGTATAGTGCTAGTTTTATCTTTAAATGTTGAGTAATGAACTGAAAAATGAAAATGTGTCAATATGGCTGAGGTCAACGATTGTAGAGCAATGGCCTGCATGAGGCCACAATATTGTATGACATTGATACATCATGTGTGGAATTAGGCCTGGGCAAAAAACTCGGACCCGATACCCGAACCGATACCCGGACCGAAAAAATCGGGTTGGGGCGGGTTAGGGTATTAGAAAATTACCTCATTGGGTAGAGTATTGGATTACCCGTGGGTATCGGGTCGGGTCGGGGATTACCCGTTACCCATTTAGGGTACCCACAAACCCGAAGAAATACACATGTTTATATATGTATATAGATAATTAGATATATAGTCTTATATAGTTATATACTTATATGTATGTCCTAGGTTTTAGGTTTTGTGACTTTTGACGTTTGAGTTTATATATGTATATAGATAATTAGATATATAGTCTTATATAGTTATATACTTATATATATACTTATATATATGCAATACACATATGTTTATATATGTATATAGATAATTAGAATCTACTCTTAACACTTAAGAGTGAAATAGTCATCTTTGTTATTTTGGATTGGATTTAGTATTTAAATGTCATGTTTGATGTTCTATTCTCTTTATTTGATCATTTGAGTATGTAAAGTGATTTTAAACTTCGAGTATTACCCAAACCGACCCGAACCCGACAATACCCGAACCGGACCGGAACCGAAACCATAGGAATACCCGAATGGACCATAAATTCATTACCCATTCAACCCGAACCCGAACGGGTTACCCATATGCCCATGCCTATGTGGAATATTATTTTACAACCTAATTTCGACAACTATTTGGTTAAATATTTGTTCATTTATTATTTATCTATGTATCATAAATTCATAAAGCTTTATAGATTCCAGAAGGAATTGTAACGGAAAAGGACAAAAGAAAATTATATGTGGACATCTTGGAATTGTTTTCAAATGCCTTGTCAAAAATTAAATTCTGTAATTGATTTATACTAGTATATGATAGTTTAAAGTTTAAACTTAAGATGAAAATGAGAAAAGAATATAAGATGCATCATCGAATGTAGTTCTATAATCTAATGGAATCCAGAGAATCTGGCTTGGAATCGTTGGACCACTTTAGTCTTAGTGACACACGTATAATTCACATTTTGGTACATATATAATCATATAACTGTGTATATAATTATTTGTGTGCGCCTGTAAATCTGCTGGCATCGTAACTAGCATGTTGCTACCTGTAGTTGACAATATAAGATTCTTTTTAATTTGTAGTTTTTGGCTTCTTATCTTTTCTTCAGAAATTACTTTCATGATCCAGTTTAATTATATGTTTATGAATTATGATCGTACGTCATTTAGATAACTCATCATTCTACAATTTGTACATACGAAATAATGTATGGAAAATATATTTATTTTAATAAAGATTTCTCTTATATATATAAAAAAAAAGCACAAAACTGCAAACTAGAAAAAAGTTTCGGTCACAAAACATGAAAGTCATTATGAATTAAGAATAATGGACCCAATATAATTTTATCTCTTGCTATTTGGGAGATTAATCTTTCGAAAAATGGTTATCGAAAAATTTGCTATATGGTTCTTTTCTGGCCATGTAGAGTTTGATTTTGTTACAAAGTAAAAAAGATCAAACTATAGCACTGTTGCACGTTTCCTCTGGGTTTCTTAAGAAAAAAATGTTTTTAATTGTAAAGTACAACTGTTATTCTGCTGTTACAATCTTCCTAAGCATAATTAGGGATCTGATTACATCATCAAAACTATAGTTTAATAAGTGAGAATCTCTATATTTTGTTTCTTTCTATAACACCATAGTATTATATTAACAAATTTAAAATTTTAATCGAATGGAACCTTTGAATCCATGCAAAGACATAGTCATATAGAGAGGAAGGACCCACCGGACTCGTTCACATGTATGAATATGGATTTGATTATTGCATCCCATCATGTGGAAAAAGCTCATTACCAAAGAAAATTATAAATGACAAAATTTTAGATTAATCTCCGAAGTCTGTTGCAAGCTTACAAACTTCAAGGAAAACCCACCTAATAAAATATCTTGCGAGTTTACTCCATGATTAGAGCTATAGTTACAAACTTCTTATCATATATGTTTTGAAGAAGTAAAAATGATTTTTTTTCCTGTAAGACTTTTGTTTAGTTAATTTTTATCTGAGGCAAAACCCTTAGAAAGGAAAGGAATCTATAGAAAAGGGACAACATTATGCGACATATAGAGTTTCAAATTATAACACCGATCTTTATTATACTAATGATAGTAATCTCTGTAAGGAGGATTTTCAGTATTTAGTATTCTCCTTTGGAAAAGAAAAATCCTAGCATTGGACAGTTTAGTAATATCATGTTGATAAATACTAAATTGGAATCTAAGTGAAAGTGAACCTTTGGGACGTATGACCAGGCTAAATTCTCGTGTATGCATGCTCGCGGCGAAAGTGAATATTCCATACTATTAATATAAAGACAACTTGTATAATTGTAATCAATCTCACATAAACAACTTTGAATCATTAATTATCGTCAAGAACTCTACTATTATAGTATCATATACGTAAAACGGATCCCACTTATAGCCTTTTCGATTCTCCATCGGCTCTTACGAAGTCAACCTTCGTATCTCTATATAAACCATTCTCTCCTTGTTCCCTAAACACAAGACCACGTACAAGCAAAAAAAACAAATACAAAATGGCTGATGGTTTTGGTGAACCGGGAAGCTCAATGCACGGAGTCACCGGCCGAGAACAAAGCTATGCATTCTCCGTCGAGTCTCCGGTGGTTCCTTCCGACACATCAGCAAAATTCTCTCTCCCCGTGGACACCGAACACAAAGCCAAAGTCTTCAAACTCTTATCCTTTGAAGCTCCACACATGAGAACTTTCCATCTTGCTTGGATCTCATTCTTCACTTGCTTCATTTCCACTTTCGCTGCTGCTCCTCTTGTCCCCATCATTCGAGATAACCTTAATCTCACCAGACAAGATGTTGGAAATGCTGGTGTTGCTTCTGTCTCTGGCAGTATCTTCTCTAGGCTTGTTATGGGAGCTGTTTGTGATCTCCTTGGGCCACGTTATGGCTGCGCTTTCCTCGTCATGCTCTCTGCTCCGACCGTCTTCTCCATGTCGTTCGTTGCTAATGCCGGCGGGTAAGCATACTTGTAAATTGTAAAATTGCGCAAAAACCTTAAGATTAAGTAACAATTCACTTATTTTGAGATTGTCCTATATATATGTACAAGTAATATATGATTAGTAAACCAATCTTAAAAGCCTTTTTCTAAAGACTCAAAGGATTATATCTCAAAATTAATTAGTAAAGTGATTTATATAATGGATTAGTTTTTATGTAGATTTCTAACAATATTTTGGCCATAGGTACATAACGGTGAGGTTCATGATCGGGTTCTGCCTCGCGACTTTCGTGTCATGCCAATACTGGATGAGCACAATGTTCAATGGTCAGATCATAGGTCTAGTGAACGGGACAGCTGCCGGATGGGGGAACATGGGCGGTGGGGTCACGCAGTTGCTCATGCCGATGGTCTATGAGATCATCCGACGGTTAGGGTCCACGTCCTTCACGGCGTGGAGGATGGCTTTCTTCGTCCCCGGGTGGATGCACATCATCATGGGGATCTTGGTCTTGACTTTAGGACAAGACCTCCCGGATGGTAATAGAAGCACACTCGAGAAGAAAGGTGCTGTTACTAAAGACAAGTTCTCAAAGGTACTTAGTACTTAAATTAAATAAATGTTAACTTCTTCTTGAATCCTTTGATTCTTAATCTTATATATTAGGGTCTGCAGATCGTTGTCTATATATATATATATATGGTTGTTCTGATATAGATCTTAGATTAACATTTAGATAGAGGAAATTATAAATTAATCCAAGAAAACACTTCAACTAACTTAAAGAAAAAAAGAATGAAGATCTACATACGTTTTCATAAAGAAAAAGCGAAATCCTTAGACCTAAGTGATTATAATAGTTCTATATCATCTCTAAATATTATACTCCTTCATAGATTTTTTCCCCACTTTTTTTTTTGTTTAAGATCTTTTTATTTGGTTAAGACTCACAGTTTTCTGGTGGAAAACTTTACCAGGTTTTATGGTACGCAATCACGAACTATAGGACATGGGTTTTCGTGCTGCTATATGGATACTCCATGGGAGTAGAGCTCACAACCGATAACGTCATCGCTGAGTACTTTTTCGACAGGTATAATTATTAAAACTAGTATTTATTGAATCATTTAGTCTCTAAAGTATAAACAAACAACAATAAGGTTTGATTGCTTTTAGCATAGTCAGATCTGAGCATAGTACAAGTGTATTATACCAATATATATATACGAGGTTTTGTCAAGTAAAATCAATTATATTATAACAATAAGGTCGCCGTGTTAACTATAGTATAAAAACTCAAAGTCGAGTAGTTGTTGATAGTTGATACCTTGCATGCTCAAATGGCTCGATTAATGAGCTACTTACCACCAATATTTTTAGCCAAAACATTAATTTCTTCTACTGAAAATGAAATTTCTTTACATTTCTTAGTTTTCGTAAATCCACTACCTTCATTTTTTTGTGTTACC